TTGTGAGGAGTGACCTTGAGATACCTACCGTTGTATCGAATCCGCTAGGACATAGCATGCGTCTTCATCACATTTATCATAGATGTCCGTTGACCGTGCAAGGGAAGCAATTCCCTGCAGATTTGATAGAGCTACCACACAAGGAGTTTGATATTATCCTTGGTATGGATTGGCTCACCGAGCATAGAGCAGTGGTCGACTGCAGTTGTCGGACCGTACGGCTGAGAGCCGAGGACGGTAGCGACGTATTACTCTCCGGGGAAGTGTTCCCCAAGACTCCCGAGTTCATATCATCCTTGAGCGCGAGGCACTTGATTCGCAAGAAGTGCGAGATGTTCCTATGTCACGTTCAGGATGTGCGAAAAGAATCGCCACGTCAGCAGGACATTCGTACGGTTTGCGACTTCCCCGATGTCTTTCCCGAAGACCTACCTGGTTTGCCTCCGTCGAGAGAGGTAGAGTTCTCGATCAATCTCATTCCGGGTACGGAACCCATATCTGCTACACCGTATCGTATAGCACCTACCGAGATGAAGGAGTTGAAGGCTCAGTTGCAAGAGCTACTGGAAAAGGGATTCATCCGACCTAGCGTTTCCCCATGGGGAGCACCAGTGTTATTTGTTCGAAAGAAAGATGGATCCATGAGACTTTGCATCGACCCGGTCTCTACACCCGTGGACACCCGAGGGAAGCTTTCGGCCACGATCGGTCCTCCAGCGCCAGATCCCTCTCTATATCGCTCCATTGTGGGAGCACTGCAGTATCTCACCTTCACCCGCCCATATATTACCTATGTCGTTGATAAGCCGGGTTTGTGTTAGTTCTTTTTATTCTTTTTTAGGTATTTTAAATATTTTTAGAGTTTAATTTTTAGTTTTTTAGCATAGTTTTATTTTAATTTCTATTTTTACAATCTCTTAATTTTCTTTCAAAATTAGTAGTTTTTTAATCATTTTTTTTTCAATTTTATTTTTCCTAACCCAAAATTATCAGATATCTTATTTTTGGAGAAAAATATAGCAGAAGGCCAAAATTCAGTTCAAGTTTGGAAAAAAGAGATTAAATTTGGGCCGGAGCCCAAATCTATCATCAAAAGAAAACCAGCCCATACAACCTCCCTTCACTTTATCTTCACGCAAGAAAAGAAAAAAAAAGAGAAGAGCCGGCTTCTTCATCTTCATCGCGCAAGAGGCGGAAGACCAAGTCAATTAACGCTCCAACGATCGGCCATCAATTCTGTCATTCAATTGCCGACGGGAAGAAAAGCTTTGCCTATAAATTGAACATCGACGGAGAGGGGAACATCGACGGGAATAAAGCAGCGGCTTGCCCGCTGCTATGGTGGCCGGCGTTCGACGATGGCAGCGGCGGCAGTAGCTCCGGCGACGGCTGTGGTCGAGGGTGGACAGTCTTCTTCAAACTCCAATTTCTTCAATTTCATCTTCTTCTTCATCAATTGGTAACTCTATATTGTCATTTTTTTCTTCTCCAATTTCTTTGTAAAAGTGTTGTTTCAATTCAAATTTACACTTTTTTTCCTTGTGTGAATTTCAAAAATTCCAAAATGGTTGGTGTTCTTTTATGGTTTTTTTTAATGTTATATTAAATCCCTTATGAATGAAAATTGATTCTTACTAGTTTCTTCAATTTTTGCGCAAATTGATGTTAATTTGGTTGAATTATAAATTTGATTTCATAAGTAGGTTGGTATGTCGAATTCGGTTATCATTGAAGCTAATTTAGCTCCATATTTTAGTTAAATGATTCTCGAATTCATACGTGAATCTTTTTTGTGACTTGTGTTTTGTAAAATTTTAAGGTAAATGAACTTCTTAGCCACATAAGTTGAACGTTTTCCTTAAGATTCGTTATAAAGTGATTGTTTATGTCTTGGTATTCTTGTTTGTTATTTTCATAAAAATTGGGATTGTTTAAGCGCAATAAACAACTCTTGATTTAATGAAAATATGTAATGTTCTTTTATGTGAATAGATTACAATTCTTATGCTTGAGTAGTTCAAGGAGACCTGCAAAATATTTTCATCATTAGACGTTAAAGTTTATTAAAGTGTATCAAATGTTCTTCATGAATACTTTGTGCATGGGAGTTAGAATGAAAGAAAGATTCGCTCTTTTATAAACTTTTTCATCTTTTGGAATCATTGTTTGAGCGCTTGAGGTGAGTGGGGGTTCAAAGTAACCAAAAGGCCTTTGAATCTTTGACTCCGGGCCTTATAGAGAGTTGACGATCCTCTATATGTGGTCAAGGATATGAATCAACTCGAGCCTTTGAATTCTTTTCTATT